ACTCGAAAAACTTAATATTTGGCTAAAATCTAATAAACTATCTTTAAACACAGAAAAAACTAATTACATCTTATTTCTTCCAAATCAAAAAAGAAAAAAACTACCAAATATATTGCCATTGCTAAGTATAAAAAACAAAAATATCGAAAGAACCACAACAACTAAATTCCTAGGTTTACTTATTGATCAAAATATTTCACGGAAAGCCCATATTGACTATTTAAATACTAAAATAACCAAAAACATTGGCGTGCTATACAAAGCTAGACCAATGTTATCCCAAGAAAATCTAAAACATCTTTATTTTTCATTTATACATATGGTAATATAGCATGGGTCAGTACCCATAAATCTAATTTAAAGTCACTTTATCAACATCAAAAACATGCCATTAGAATTGTCTATAAAAAAGATAAACTCACTCATGCTGAACTTTTGTTTAAACTCCTAAATGCACTAAACGTCTATAGAATTAACATTTACCAAAACTTACTCTAAAATTTAAACTCGGGCTTGTCCCACCACATTTCTTAAATGAATTTTTTAAAAGCAATGAAAGTAGATATGACACTAGAGAAGTAGGAAACTTTAATGTACCGTTCAGAAAAACAAAACTGTCGCGTTTCACAATTTTATATCGCGGTCCCTATTTCTATAATAAACTGATATCCAAAAATGCCATTATTACAAAATTAGATAATATAAATTGTTTGAAAATCTTACTAAAAAAGTTCGTTTTAAATATCAGCAATTATTTGAACTTACTCTAAACTAAAACTGAAAGTAAAACCAAAATTATAATTGAAAACAAAATCCAAAAAACTTCAATAATATATATTAATACAAAAAATCAATATAAGTCAATAATAATTATATTTATGCTTAATAATATATTTGTGTATTATGTGTGCTACAAACAGTATTTACCAACTTTTTTATTTCTACATTTTATTATATTTGAACCTAATATAAAATGAAGTATTTTGTAAAACTAGATACATTGTTAAACGAAAATACAAAAAATATTACAAGTACAAGCGGTTTCTTGATGACAAGACCATCTGGTCTTCTGCAAGTTCCCCGCGTTCTTTTAATATTAATGATACCCTACAATCATATTTTTTGTTTTCTATAAAATTGTGATATATTTTTAGTATTATATATTTTAAAAACATTGTAACTTTGTACCAATCATGTAGAATCACAACATTATAAAGATAAAAGAACAAAGAAAAAAAATAAAAATTAAAAAAGAAAATTAAAAAAATTAAAAAAAGGTAAATAATATAAAATTAGCGCTATATATAAAAGTTACGCTAAACAATTGAATTTTTTCTTCGACGTCAAAATGAACGTCGAAGAAAAAATTTTTAAAAAAATATTAGTGATTTACTTGAAAAAATATTAGCTAAATTCTAATTCCACAAATGTTTCTTTTATTTTTCTAACCAACTATAAGAAGCGAAGATGTTTTCTATATATAAAGGAGGAGAATATTTAACCAATTCTATCAATTATTGTCCTATATCTACGTTATCCATATTATCGAAAATCTTGAAGAGAAATTTATATAACAGAATTTATAATAATTTATCTAAAACAATTTAAAATATAGCAATCAATATGGATTTAAAAAAAATAACTCAACAGAACACGCGATTTTTCAGTTTACTTGAGGCAAACTCTTTTGAAAGTTTCCAATATATAGTTGGGGTTTTTATTGATTTAGCTCAAGCTTTCAAAACAATAGACCAGAAAACTTTTTTAAATAAACTAAAGATTTACAGGATAAGCGGTAATCTTTTTAGTTGGTTTAAAAACTATTTTAATAATCGAAAGCAGTTTGTAAACGTTAATGTAGTATCTCCAGTAAACTTGCTTGATTGGTGGAGTTCCTCAAGGATTAAAGTTACATCGTATTCTTTTTTTTTTCTTAACACCAACAATCTTCACAAAGCCTCAAACTTAATGACGATTATGTTTGCTGACGACACAAACTTATTTTCATCTCACACTAATTTTACATTACTTTTTCATAACATGAATAAATTTTTGAATAAATTTTATTTTACAAAATAAAATTTGTAAAATTTATGTCTAGGTAACTATAAACCAAGACATAATTCCATAATAAAGAAAATGTTTGAAGAGAAATCATTTTGAAAATATAATGTTACTTATAAATATAATCTTTGCCATGAATCACAAAATGAGTTTATAGACTTTTTAAGTAAAAAAAAAAAAATTATTTCAAAAATAAAAGAGGCAGATATGTACTCAATTATGGCTGATACCACTCCAGATATTTCACATCGAGACCATTGAACAATATGTATTCAATATATTAATAATAATGGTGAGGTATTAAAAAGAGAAGAGGTATCAGAAATAGTTTAAACTTTAGCTAAACTGGAGTTGGCATTGCTAAATTAATTCAAGATGCTATTATTAAAAATGAATTCAATTTCCACAAATCTTGCTTTCCACACATCTTGCTTTTCAGTCGTGATTTTGCTAGTAGCATGTTTGGCAAAATAAATGGCACACAACAAAAACTATCTGATCTTCTAGGTTGCTTATTTCCATTTAAGCCATTAATACAGCTGCGATGTCAGTATAAATTGAAGATTCATTTTTTGTTTTGGAAAAAAAATATGTATATATTTTTTCTTCAAGTATTAAGCAATTAACATTTTAAAAAAAATTAATCATTTATTGAAAATTCTTTACAACTCTGAAATTTATCTAAAAAAAAAAAAAAAATAGACAGATCGAGCTGAACCAATTAAATCCGGATGGGTTTCATTAGAATCAATTATAAATACTTTTGTAGAAATGTCAACTGACCTTTATTTAGACAAAAGTACAAGAGCTCAAGCTTTAAGTTTAGCTAAATAAATGATTACATTCAACTTCTTAGTATCTTTGTATTTTATGAAAAATATCACGTACAAAATGAAAGTCCTAACAGAAAGTTTAAAAGTTTTTGAATTTCAACAGAGTAAATTTTGTACATTAGTCTATCTCAAACAAACAAATATTTAACAAATTAAATTGATCAAAAATTATTTAAGATCCACAATGCACGCTGATCAACTACAAAATTTAATGCTTCTAAATACTAACAAAGATATGTTGGACATAATTGATTTAAAAAAAGGTTGTTGAAAGATTGGCGTCTATGAAACAACTTGGGATGAATCAAAATTTTGTATCGGAGCTGGAATGACCAAAAAGTCACAAAATTTTGACTTTTAGGTCATTCTAGCTCCCTTTTTTAAGACATGTGACACAGACTGTTTAAATTAAATTAAAAAATTATTGTCCTATAGGACAATGAAGAACTATAAGTAAACCTAAATGAAAAATACAAAAGTCTGGACAAACACAATGTAATTTCATTTGCAGCAATCAATTATGTAAGGATTTTTAGAATTTCAGGAAAATTGTAGGGCAAAAAGATTTTCTATCCAGTTTTGGGCAACAAACTAGCTCTTTTTTCATCAAAAAAGTTACCTGTCTCTGAGAATAGTCTCATATTAAATATTACTTAAATTTTAAACAATTAAAAAGTATAGGATGCCAAATATAGTAAATATTTCAATTTTAACCAAAATGGAAAAATAGAAAACAAATAAATAGTTTTAAATATAAATATTATGCAGGTTAAAACTTTCAATAAATAAAATTATAATAAACTAATAAAAACCTACTAGATTTAAATGAAACAAAAACCAAATTAATGGAACAAATTATATATATTATAGATTATAAATGTATATTATGTAGCTACGATACTGAGGCGCAACTTTCATTTTCAATCTTAAAGGTAAAATATTGCTAAAGTATAATTCTCGTTCGGACTGGAACTTCCGGAAATGCCGGCCGGAATTTTATTTCCAATTTCGGCAAATCCGGTTCCGGCATGAACCTAAGAAAAAAAAAAAAAACCTAAAAAAAACAAAACAAAAAAAAAAAACTAACACTATTTTAGTAATATATTTCTTAAACCAGACAAAAAAAAAATAATTTTGAACGGGTTTCTTTCGCCTGGTTTTACTGAAATTTATAAAAAAAAAAAAAAAATTAATTTCTTACTAGAAGACCAAAATTATGAAATAAAATACTGATTAACTTAAAACAATTGCAACTTTTAATGAGTTCAAGACCAAATTGAGGTAAAAACTATTTTTAATGAGCGACTTATCAGTTAGCTTAATCTTATGTTTTACGGTTGCTACTGATAAACCTACCTAACCTTTGGGAGGTTTGTCATTATCAAATTAACAAACTTAAGAAAGATCGTGTTATTGCTTTAATTCTTTGCTTAGCCCAGTAAGCACAAGATGCGTTTAAAAAGTCTTTTGTTTAAAAGTTCAGGATTGTGCGTAATTCCCTACACGCTTTTTTAAAAAAAACCTTTTTATTATACTAAATATTTTATCTTTGCATTCATTAATCTAAAAACCTAATCATCTTAAGCAACACTTAAAAACAAAAAAAAAGCTTTAAAAATTGCTAATTAAAGGTAAAGTAGGACATTAGGACCTACGATTTTTGAGTCTAATATTTAAATCATGTATGCAGCGAGATAATATAGCCTGAGTAGTTAAACATTTCTTAAACGTTGGCCATTTCATTTGGCAACTGATGCAAAAAAAAATTATTTGTATATTTCGAAACGCTGCTATTGATGTTTATCGGAATATAATTAGATTTTGGTCAAAAAGATAGAAATTTTAATGGGGGATTTCCACATTAAAAATTTCATACATTTGCAAGAGAATACAGCATTGCTGATAAATCTAATACGATCGAAAATGTGTTACATTTTGATTTGTTAAAAAATCTGTTTTTTTTTCTTTTCAAAAGACTGCCTCTCTATTTTTCGATGGTTTTCACAGTTTATATCGTGTCAACGCTTCTGGATTTGGATTTGATGCTAAGTAACACAAACAGTGCTATAGTAAAAGAAGATACTCCGCAAAAAAAGACAAATCTTCAATAAATAAGATGTTTCAGATGTAAACTACAAAAATAAATACTTTTTCAATATTTGTACAATATAAACGGTCAATAAACAAAAGACCTTAATTTGTAAAAAGATTTTACAAGATAAACTATAAAATAAATAATATACATTCATGTACAAATGCACAAATATTCATATTACAAACTATATATAAATTATATTTTAAGTTAAAAAACGTGTCCATCATTGAAAGTGTATGTTGATCCAACGGCAGTCAAAAGATCTACATCATTTGAATGATAGCTAAATGAGAAAAAAGCGTTGCTTAAGATTTCGTTTACGAGAAAATATTTTTTTTGTAATGAGCTGCACAAATTGATAATTATTTATAAAAAAAAATCTTTTATTAAAAATCTTTTTAAAATCTTAAATTAAATAAAATAATAATCATATTTAATAACTGGGAATCAATTTTGCATAATCAAATGATATTGCGTGACATGATCAAAGATGATGCATATGACATTTTATATAAAACACGTTACTCAAATAGCCTATATCGCTATTTTTAACTTAATCTGTCTCTGTTTTGAAACATTTAACTCTTTTCGGATCTTTATCGACACTCAAATTAAAATTCATACTTTTTGATATTTATATTCCTTCAACTCAAACAATTGAAGTTAATCTTAGACTCTCATCTCAAACTCATGAACATCACTTTTCTAACGCAAGTTTATACTTTTCATCATTGACATCATCATCATCATCATCATCATCATCATCATCATCATCATCATCATCATCATCATCATCATCATCATCATCATCATTATTTTGTTCATCATCCTGATGCAAGTTTTATACTCTTACTGTCACAAAGAAAAGATTTTTTTTAACGTACAACAAACTCTGTCAGGAACACTTTTTTATTTAAGTAATTATAGATTTTGATCTTGTTTTATGTGCTTTAATCTGTGTTTACAATCCATACGTTTTAATGTATGTCTTTGCTTATTATTACTTATATTATATTTAAAAAATGGTTTCCCTCATTTGATCAGATTTCTGTATGAGTGACACCATCCTAATAAACCATTAACTTATTATTATAAATAATTTAATGCTTTTAACAACCATTTTAATATTATTATTTCATCATTGTAATTATTATAAATATCCTTATTATTATTACTACTACTACTTTAACTTATATTAATTTTGTTGGCTCATTATATATTGTTATTATTATTATTATTATTAAAACCATTGTAAAAATGATTTACGAAAAATAAATAGCTTCTAGTTGTCGTTAAAGTATTGTTTTTCGTTGCAAAGGCGACGAATACCAAGACCAACTATTTGACAGCATTCTAAGAAATGCAATCTTTTTTGTTTTTGTTTTTTTGTTTGTTTGATGGAATCTTTTTAGTTTTTTCGGTGAATTCAGAGAGATTAAGTTTGCAAGTACTTCTAGTACACTCCCCTATAATAAAATAATTGCATTTTTTATCTTCTTGATGACGACCATTTAGACAGGAAGCTCTACAGCTTACAAGTCTTTCTGTTTGAAATATGTTTGCTTTTCAACAAGATGGATGGGAATTTATGTTCAGACCGAATTCAAGGTCGACAAAGGTTTTGATCAGTTGAATAAGTGAACTGTACCTATACAAATAAAGACATTTTTTTGTCTCTATTAACATAACAGAAATCTCCTATTATCTAAGGCACATTAAGTTGAAGTTAGGGATCAAAATGCAGGGAGGGGTGGGAGGTGGAAGTAAAAGCGTACGCACTTTATGGAAAACCCATAGGAAACAAAGTCTGTTAGTTTGTCCTAATGCGTCTTGGCACACGAAAACTTTGTATACAGAAACAAAAAAGATATGAATTAAAAGTTGACATTATTTAAAAAAATTTTAGGTTAAATTCGTAAACGCAATTTACATAAAATTTTGTTTAATTTGTACATGCATTGAACATAAAATTTAAATCTAAAAGTAATAATAAAAAACAATTATATTGTTTAAAAGATAAATCATTTATTTTTTTACTTTCGTTTCGAAGTGATTCAATAAAAAAAAAGTTACGCGCACCCGTGACGACTCTTAAAAAAACGCTTAAACTTTTTTTTTTGAAGAAAACATTTTTTTGAATATTCTGCTACAGCCGATTTTTTTCACTCTAGCAAAAATGCATGTCGTTACTGCTCTGTTTTTAGAGGTTTATAGTTTAAGTTATTTTTATTTTAGAGGTTTATAGTTAAGGTGGTAGCAGGGGAAAAACACTTTTTTTTTTCAAAAAATTAAAATAATTAAAAATGTTTCATTTTAATGGTATTTTTAATACTATTAAAAAAACAAAAACAATTAACACTATATGCATAAAAATTTAATGATGACGTCATTAATTGTACACGTCATAAACAGATTTTTGACCTATTTTGATATGATTTTTCCAACAAGGATAACTTAGTGAAAAATTATCAGAATCTCTTGAAATTTTAAAATTGCAATTTTTATTAGTAATACTATGCTCAGAACACCCTAAATAGAACTAGGTAACACCATAAAATTTTTTAGCTCATTAGCTTTATCCAATCAAAAGTTATCTTTGTCGAGAGACCACAAACATCATAAAAAATTAGTCAAGAAAAATCTAATCAAAAAATCAAATAAATGAAAATAAAACAATAAATTTCAAAAAAACAAACTAAAATGCTCCACTAGCATGTCTTTCCTTTCTCAAGCTCATTTTTATCATTAAAATCTTTTATGATTACAAGAAGTTTTTTTCTTCTTTGTTTTACTGAGCTGGTTGACTTTTTTGCAGATTGCTTGACACGCTGAATATCAGATTTTCTTGAACCTTTTATAGTAAAATACTCATTTTCTATACCTAGTTTTTTAAAAACTGGGAGCAAATCCTTGGGCACCATCATTGTGTGCATTAACAGCAGATACAACTGCAGTTTTAAAAACATCATTCCTAATTTAAACTCTTTTTGGGCACCGCGTCCATAATAAGAATAATAGAAAATAAGATTCAATAACACAACCTATATTTAGAAGCTCTGAATTTAAAACGATTTTTAGGGGCTTTAGTGTTTTTAGCTTATAAACTGAATAAAGAAAAAATGTTTAAAAAGACAAAAAGAAGCCTTAAGGTGAAAACTAGATGTCTAGATCAGGTTTCAATCTTGAGATACATCAAAAATAGTTGTTGCTAAGGCAAAAAATGCCTCTTTTTTCGCCTGCTATCTTACCTTAAAGTTATTTTTATTTTAGAGGTTTATAGTTAAAGTTATTTTATTTTAATCTGTTTGAAGCTACATTTTTTAGTAGGTTGTCACGAGAAACCGTTGAAGACAAAATAAACATTACAAAAAGTATTCCAAAATTTTTTTAAGTTTTAATACATAACGAATATTCAATTAAAAAGTGAGGTTTCATTTCGATCAAAGATCTAAAAACCGTGGCACAGTCTATCAAAAGAGCTACAATTACAGTCATGCCTAATAACTGTTTTTTTGTAAATAAATTCAGCAGCCTAGTTCCCAGCCTATAGGTAAATCTAGCCCTGCAGATGAGCTAAACTTCTATTTATTGAGCTACAAGAGTTGGAAAAGCGTTTTCAGATTGTTTTCAGATTGTGGCTATTTTCCTATATATTTCAAACTACGTCTAGTTTGGTCACCTTGTTAATGTACTGTTGTCACCTAAATGTACTGTTGGCTCCCTTGTTGAAAATCTAATTTTGAACACTCAAAAATGACTATATTTATCATTATCCCTGTTTTCCACTAAAGGTGAGTTTCCACTCATCCTTTTTTTCACGGGAACGGGAAGGGAAAAATAATCATGTGAGCATGCGTATTATAAGTTTTAATTTGTCCGAAGTAAAACTATGCATGCTCACGTGATTATTTTTCCCTTTCCTATCCCGTTCCCATAGAAAAACGGATGAGTGGAAACTCACCTTGATACTAACATATACAACAGAATTAAAAATTTTATTTTATTGAAGGAACTTTACCATGATACTTTAATATGAATTGCGGATATTCTAACACTCTTCTTATGACCTTTATTATTCATAACACTGCACAATATGGAAGATCATAATTTAGCTTCAAGTTCAAGACAGCTTTATTTCTCATCTGCTTTATAGCTGATTGGTCTCTATAGACTTTAACAGGAAAAGGTTTTCCTCGTGTTGAAGATTTAATTTAAGTATTGTCACCAACAGATACTTTTTAAGTGATGTATAAGTTAATCATAAAAAGTCATGATAGAATCTTAAGTAAAACTTTCTGTTTTTTAATGAAGCTTTTTCAGGGTTTTTGTTAGTGAATTCAGAAAAACTAAGTTTTGGACTAATTCTAGTCCTCTGCCCATGGCAACAAATAGCATAAGAACAGTTGTCATCCACTGTGCTATGACTGTGCTATGACAAGGTAGATATTGTGAATTGGTTGTCAACAAGCCATGGAGACCTCAAAAACCTCAAGAATACCGATTTATTTTTACTACTTATTTGACAAATTTGTCTTGCTTTAATAAAACATGAATTTTGCCATCCTTTCCCCTGTTGTTGTGGTATTCCATGTGCTCAAAGAATTAAGCATTTGGCTGAGTCCCTTGTGCTAATTGGGTCCACTACTGATGTCACAAATCACGAACCTTGTGATTTACGACATCCGCAATTTAAAGTCAAATATCTCATTGTAAGACTTAAAAGCTAACATAGAACAAAATATTGCCAATATAGAGCCAGATGTTTTGCAAGCAACAGTTCAAAATTTTTTTTCAAGTCATGTAACCAATTATACACTTTCAAATAAACATTCGAAGCCTTTTTTTTATTCATTTTTAACAAAATGGCAGCCAATTCAAATTATGACATTACTTTCATGCCACAATGTATATAAAAGTATGTAAATGTATATCAGCGTGTACCCATCGGTTTTTTCCCAGTTGTCATGCGGGCGACTGAAACAGTTTTTATTTCTCATTCAAGTCGTTCGATATGATAATCAGTAGTCCGGTGCAAAAGATTCTTTTTTGTACTTTTTCCCAGGCAAAAATAATAAAGAAAAATTTTTTTCATCTGAGTACTAAAATACGTCAAAATAACGGTTTATTTAAAAGTAAATTAACTAATTTAATAATTAAAGAGGTGTTGTCTTTTTTGTCGTAGTCGATATCATTTGTATGTATCGTATCATTTATTTTTATTAATCTTAATAAAGGTTTCATTACGTGAAGCAAAAATGTGAAAAGCCAAAACTGCAAACAAACATTTTATATATAGAAAGATATTCTATTATCCTATCTCAATCTTCAATCAAATTGTGTGTGTATATATATATATATATATATATATATATATATATATATATATATATATATATATATATATATATATATATATATATATATATATATATATATATATATATATATATATATATAACTCAAAATGTATATATATATATAAATATATACATACAAGCTCAAAACTCTAAGCAAGCAAAAATTGCAAATACAATAATTTTGCAGTTACTACTCACTAACTTACCCAGATGATTGAACATATGCTGATAAAACATTTTCAGGATTTAACTTTGCAAACTCCACAAGAACCTTTCCTCGATTGTAAATATCTTTTAGTTGTTCTTCAACATGGAGCAAACACTTTAAACAAAATAATATTATTTACAAAATATTATAAATAGCCAAAACAGTGCAACTAAAAGTTTGAAAAAATAGGAGCTAAATTTGCATATTTCTAAAATGAAAAATTGTAGTTTGGATACTAAAATTGTCAATATTTGAAATCAACAATAATCAGTGGCAGATTGAAAAGTAAGAAAGAATGTGATAGAGGGGTATTGTTCAAATTCAATATTTAAAAATACTATATGGTACAATCTTTTAAAACTAACCGAATTTGGTGAAAATTTTAGTTCCCATAATCCTTTGGTAGATTCAACCAGAGAGGACACCAAATCTGATGCAAAAACACTTTTTGTATTTAAACTTTCACTAAAACAATTTGTTTAAAAGAAAATTCTATAATTTACATAGTAAATAAAAAAACATTTGATATACAAAGAACATTGATTATAGACCTAAAGATTGAGATTGAGACCATAATTATGAATAAATTAAAATGACATTTGCAAAATAAAACAAAAATTAAAATTGATTTATTTGATAACAAAAAATAAACTAAAACACGAAAAAATATTTTTTTTTTCGAGTTTTAAGTAATTACAATAATGATTTACAATTTTTTTAGTTAATGCAAATATGGTTGCAGAACTTTTTGTGGGATAGTTACTGTGGAATAATTGTTCATATAAAATAATTTTCTAGCATCATTAAAAATGCAGAAAAAGCTTAAGCTGTAAAAATATTCAAAAATTCCAAAAACTAAAAGGATTATAAATAAATCTTTTGCATTATTTATGCATCTTTTTATGTACATTTTTTATTTCTATATTATCAACATTTTTTTTTTTTTGCATTAGTACAAATGTTAAAAAAAAAATGTTTTTAAAATAAAATATTTTTATAAAATTTAAAAGGTTTTAGCAAGCCACAACTCAATTTTTTTTAATTATTTGTATAACTTCACAACACTGAGGGACCACAACAGTTAAGAAAGTTGTTTTCTCAACATAAATCTTGAAAAACTCCACAACATAAATTTTTTTAAACAGGTTTATCGCATGAAGAAACAATTTGAGTGTGGTACTATCAGAGACACAGTGAAGATCAAATTCTTGCTTAATAAGCAAGTGCTCTACTATTATTGCATACAACACATCACAAACTTTTGTGCTATACCACATACCTATACTATACCACTACCACATAGCACATTTGCAACAAGATAAATGTCATTAGGCAAATACTACTGCTTTTAACTTATTCAAGATTTTTAATATCCTGACACTCTGGTCTTTTCCATAAGCTCTTTGTATCCAAAAATAATTTTAAATTTTTGGCATCTTTCCCAACTGTAGTAATAAAGTTCTCTTTATTACTACAATTAACAACAGTATTCTTGATTTCTATTTACTTTTGGGGTACAAGTCTCTGTTCTTGGTCCCATGTTATTTCTAATTGCATTAATGATCTTCCTGACAATTTTTCTTAAGATTTGATTTTATATGCTAATGATACAACTATATATTCCAACCTTAATAAAAGTCAGCTTCATTCATTGCTTTAAATTGTCAGCTAACTTTGTAGCTGATCTTTAATTATTAATTTAAGTAATAGCTTAAGGGTTCCATGGAAACCATGTATCCAATAAATTCCAAGACTACCATTTGGTGAAATTGTCTCTCTTTAATATACCCACCTACATCTTACTTATGACTCCCTTCACTACAATTATAAATCTTTTATTTGTCTTTGAAGGAAATACTTATGTAAATTTTAGGCTTCCATTAACACCTTTCCTCTCTTATAAAGTGAAGTGCATACAGGTTTAAAGCTTAATTTTAAAATAGAAATTTATGTAATATTCAAGTGTAAAAAATTATAAATATTTAATAACTACGCTTAAAATAAATTTATTTTTTAAACTAGTTACATAAATAAAATCCAAATAGTTTAAACTTAAATTTTTTGTATAGAAAAACAGAAATAGTGTATCATAAGTTATTTAATGATATTTTGTAATACAATGCAACAGTATAATAATAGTATTATTACTTATTGCTGTTATTGTTAGTAGATACATTTCTCACTAATACAGAGTTACACTGTGCTTTTAGATAATTTTCTTACTTATGGACAGTTATACCAAGAACCAGAAATATGATTCACAATCAATAAAATACTATTTGTGAACAATTATTTTATTAGTATTTATTTTTTAAATGGTTTTTAAACTTTTTGTCTAGAATGTATTATAATGATAAAGATTCATTTATTAACTTAATGCATAAACTTTTAATGTTAAAAATATACCTTATGCTGAGGTTGCTAGAATTAGTTCTCCTTGTTAAACTCCATGTTTCGCATGTCCTTAAATAAAAATCATGTTTATTGCATAAACAGATGCAATTCATATATTATCTTTTCAATAAATTATAGTCAGCAAATTTTCAAGTCAGTAAACCAATAATTTACAGACTAAAGTCAGTGTATTAGTAACTAAAAGTTAGTAAACTAAAGAAACTAATGAATTATAATTTGAGCAAGATTAGTAATATAGACTAAATAATTTACTAACTTTATAATTTATTAGTTATTTATTTTCTTCCTTTACTTATAATTTATGTTATAACTTATTGATTTGAAAATAAAAAACAGTAAATCATAAAGGATAATAATTAAATATAACTATTGTATGTATAAAAACTTTTTCCTTATTACAATTGAAATTAAAAATACCAGTTGTCTACATTTGCCACAATGCATATTGCATCAGAAGCCACTTCATCTAATACAGAATACTAAAAAAAACTCCCTTTGTTATAAAGAATTTAATTTAATTTATAAAGTTTAAATGCTGACTAAAATATTTACCTGAACTGAATTTTTCAAGTCTATAGCTAATTTCTCTTTGTTTAGTTTAGCGACACCTTGAAGGACAAAATTGGAAGTGTAGTTTTCAGAGTATCTATTTATGAAAATATTAAATAATTTAAATTTATGTTTACATTCACAAATATAACTTAAAATGTTTATTTAAAAAAAAACACACAAGATCAAACGTGCAATATAACCATATGTGTAATAGTAAGATGATCTTGTGTAAAAAAAAAAAAAAGACATTTAAAATTGAGATAATATAATGATCTTACTATGATATTATTCATATATTTAGATATTCATATATTTAGATGATATATTTAGATATTCATATATTCATATATTTAGATATTCATATATTTAGATGATATATTTAGATATTCATATATTCATATATTTAGATATTCATATATTTGGATGATATCTCAAATAAGATCATAATATCATTTTAAATTAAAATGGTCTTTTTTTATAATATCATGAGATAATAATATGATCTTATGTGAGGTAATCTAAATATTCAATAACTCAACAATTTAATGCTCACGTTTAACTTATTTTTAAGGTGTTTTTAGGCTTTTTTGAACATGTTCTAGCATGTAATTGGCTATATATGACTAATTTAATGCGCTCAGTTACTGTTTAATGTGCTCAGTTCCAATTGTTATGATTGTAAAATAGAATTGTAAAATAGAACTAAAATAGAATTTTCTAATGTGTAAATATATGAAAAGTCTAGCTTAATGTGCTTAGTTATAACAATTACAACTTATTCTCTTGCACAGTTTATTGACATCAAATTTAACTGTTTTAATGTGAACAAATCAGGTAACAGGTATATAACTTAAAATTCATTTTTTAATTAATTATGCATTTTATAATAATTTTTCAACTAATTATTCATTTTTTTACAAATCTACTTTCTGTATTAAATATTAATTTTATTTTCAAATTTAACTACAACTTGAAACTTTTTTTTTAAATAAATTGTTTGTAAGTTATAAATTTAACGTGCTTAGTTGCATTTTTATCTGCTTAGTTACAATTGTTAGTTATTATGACGCTTACTTAACTGAATTGTGTTCTTAAAATCACGTTCTTCTTCTCAACTTTTTAACACTATTTTAAATTTAACACATTTTGATTAGGACTTTGTTTATATTTGTATACATATATGTTTTGATTCATATATATTTTATAGTTTTTAGTTTAGTTTAACCTTTGTTTTTGACTTTTTTTTTAATTTACTTAATTTAATTAGTCTATTTAAAAATTTTAAAAGAAAAGTTAATATGACTTGTAAAGGTTTTTTAGTACAGTATAATTTCAGATCAGTTTTGTCTTAAGCCTTTTTCAGAACAATTTTATAACTTAAACTTTTAGTTGCTAACAAGGCAAGCTTAATTTTATTTTATAGGGCTATTGGAAGCAGAAACCCTGTTTAGTTAATTCAATTCTCTTTATCTTTTTTGTTATGCATAAAATTAGAAGGATTAATAGGAATATAAATTTTTTTTAGACGGCTAAACTGACAGCAATTTAAGTAATCATTCATTGTTGAAATTCCAATTGGTTGATTAAATAATGAACATGTTGCAATTGCAATTTTATTGCAATTATTACAATTGATATAAAATATTAACAATGCAAAAAGGTTTCAATTGATATATAAATATTACAATTGCAATTTTACTTTAACTATTTATAAGAGCTTACTAAAAGAAAGTTAAAACAATAACTAGGAGTTAAAAAGTTTTGATTAAAGTTTATTTTTGTTTTGATTTTACTGCTTAAACACTATTTTTATTTTTTAGAGATAGAACTCAGTAAGTTATTATTTTTCATTTGAAAATTAATAACTTACTGAGTGATAACAAAGATTTGAAAGCAGTAAGCTTTTTTTTTAAATACTCTACTCAGTTTTTTTATTAACTGTTTTGCTTTTTAAGTGTTGTACCCACAGTAGCAGCAGCATCTGGTGTTTTCTACTATTTTATATATATATAAAAAACAAACAATAAAAATTGTTTATTTTAACATCATCTAAAAGACTAATCAGGATTAAAAAAAGAAAAAAAGAAACTCAATTGAAAACAACATAGTAAATCAAAACAAACTGTACTTCACTTACCCAGCAAGCAAAGACCTTCCAAAAGTCATATAAGAAGTATCTAGACTGTCTCTAAAAATAAAAAAATTCACTTATTTTATCTACTGTCACAAACTTGTTTCACAACACTCTTTTTAACAGAGGTTTGTATTTTGGTGTGTCAAATATGTTGTGTAAAGTATAAAGGTATGTCAAACATGGTGTAAAAAGTATGAAGGTGTGTCAAATACAAAGGTGTGTAAAGTATGAAGGTGTGTAAAGTAAAGTATGAAGGTGTGTCAAATATGAAAGTGCTCAAGTATGAAGGTATGTAAAGTATGATGATTATCAGGCTGTCAAGCAGCAACTTTCGAAAAAAATGACGTTATTTTGAGGATAAAAATGACAAAAAATGAAAAATAAAATGACTGACTTCATTATAAAATTGAAAAGTTCAATAATTTTATTTAGAAAATAACAAACAAAATAACAAACAAAATTATCCGCCATCAATAATTTCTTTTAAAAATGAAAATCTCAACATCTTTTTGTTGTTTAACACGCGATAAAACGTTTTTCTAAAGTCTAAAATAATTAACATAAATAAATAAATTTTGCTAACTAATTATAACTGAACTAACAGTTCAAGCTCTATTATATTTACAAAAACTTTTAAACTTTTAACAACTACTTTAATTTTTTGCAACGCTTAATTAATCTATCCATTTCACTTTTACGTTTTAAACCAACTTTTTCTGTTCATTTCTATGAGATGTAGCATTTTCAAGACTTCTTTTTGCGCCGTTTACCATTTCATGGGCAATTTTTATACCCATCATGTCTTCCTTAATAATGGCACTTTGCATAGATTTTGCTGCTTCATTGAGCATTCTCTGAGCAAGCTGAAACCCAAGATCTGCATTTTTTTCATCATTCTTTAGAATTTTTTCCTGTTGATCTAAATTTTTATTTTTATTTTCAACTTTTTCAAGCATTTCTTTCTGTTCTTTTTCTTTATTCATTAGTTCTTGCTCATGAATATAATTTTTTTTTTTCTTCGTCTTCTTCAGCTTTTCTTTTTTTATATATTCTATGAGCATTTTGAACAGCTTGAACAACGTCTTTGGAGAGTGCATCAACATTATATCCTCTGCAACTTCTTGCATATTCTTTTGATATTCTCAAAGCCATTAATGTTTTATCATTTAGATTTACTCTCTCATGAGTCAATGTATTTTTGTTATCAGATAAACTTCGCTTAGCATTGGCATTTCCATTCTGACTTGTTAAACAGCTCTTAACAACTTTACTGAGATACCCATACTTTGTTTTTCCATATTCATTGCTACTTTTAAAAACTTTAGCCCAATAATGGTCTACTCTTTTTAATTTTTTTGTATCAGAATCTATATACCAGTCTTTTGATATATTAGCTGCTTGGTATAATTTCCATTCATCTTTCACAAATGATACCTGTACAAAAATTAAGATAAAATTGTTATGGAGAAAGTGTTAAAATTTAAAATTAAAAGAAAATTTAATTATATTAAAATTAAAATAGTTTGTTAACTAATAATTTACAAACAACAATTTCTGATTCAAGTTTGTTAACTAATAATTTACAAACAACAACTTCTGATTTGTAAATTAAACTAATAATTAGTAAATTTTGAAAATGTTAAATAATATATTTATATGGTTAACGTACTTTGCTATTTTAATTATATAGTAGATTATGTTAACAATATAAATACTTATACTATTTAAAATTTTCAAAATTTACTTATTATTAGTTTAATTTACAAATCAGAAATTATGATTATATATATCTATATCTATATATATATGTATATATATATATATATATATATACAAATATAT